TCAAAACTCCAAGAGTTATTTTTATTGGTTTTCGATATTTTTACGAACTGTAACGTAACAGGAAGGTGGCATTTCATAGGAATATGTTTTACACATTTAATGTACGATACGAGATTTGTTTTTGGAAAGGAATGAAGTTGTACTAGTGCTGATTGAACATGGTGTGTTCCTCGCTGCAGTAAGTGAGGGCGAGTCGTAGCGCATGCGCCATCGTGTCCAGGTCACGTACAGTACAGTTGGCTCGGGTCGCGGTCAGGGCACGGAGCTCCGCCCTGTATTCACACAGTACTATATTATAATCGTTGCGTTTCAATCAGGTCACATTTGACCCACATGCCACGATTAGCGCACATTCAGTTGAAACAACTTGTCGTGTGATACAATTTTACTAGTCAAAGTGCGCATTAAATTAATTTATTCACTGGAACAAATACAAACACATTTTTGGGGAACAAAAATTTATTTGTTTAATTCACTGACTGTACAAATCAACTCGATAAAAACTACAAAAGGTTCACTAGTCAATTCGATGATTGCACGTGATTGTACGTTGGGGCTCGATCGTAGCGCGGCGTCTGGGCGGCCGCGGGCTGAGGTCGTGTGTGTCCGGGCGCGGGGGCGGGCGCGGGGCGGGCGCGGGCAGTACTGACGGAGCATCACTGAAGTAACCGACGCACACGACTACAGCAGATATCTTAATTATATATAATAAATGTAAAACTGTAATATATTGTTGTCTGCAATCGAGGCCTAATAGCTTCCTCACTATAATGTATAGTTTAATAGTTATTAAAATATCGCGTTTCGGACAATTATGCGGCGTTATGGATATTGTAAATGTATATTGTAGGCAGTATTCATGGTGGCCGGTGTAATTGTCAGTAATAACCATGAGTAGACTCGTTACGTACTAGAATTGTTCACACGAGTGGGTTATTCCTCGCGGCTGTATCATACTTGAGATTTATAATTATACAATGTTCAAATGTATCCCCATGTGGTGGAAGTAGCTGCAGCATAGCCTATGTTATTAATACCTACTAACAGTCCTATCGTAAAATAGATATGTGCCACTCGAAACTGATTTTTATTGATGTAAAATTAAGGTCCACTATTTATTTCGTAAGGCATATCAAATCAAGGCTTCTCTTATTTGAAATATGTTCCAAATAGAGCTTAAAAGCCAAAGATCAGAAAAAACGCAATCATTTTTCTTTGAATGTGATTTGATTATAAAAAGGATAAAATATCATGTATAATAAAGGAATCTAATGGGGGAAGTGCTTCAATGTTTCCTCTCATAGATGTGGCGTACTCTTTATAAGTCCAACTATGAGATATTGCTGTCAGGTTGGCTTTACATTGGTCGTATGTTGCTTGCAAAAGGGCGTAGTTGGCTAATTCATATTGCCAAATTAAGGTTGCCTTGCACCTTTCCCGTTACTGGTACCAATGCGGCCTTCGACAACATCTTACGATAGCATCCCACCAATGTAGGACCAAACCGTATACCCTGTCGGTACTTGTATATTAATCATAGCGTTGTATTATATTCAACGTTAATTTAATTATGTTTAATTTGTATAAATAGATTACTATTATTATTTACGTGAGAATGTATGTCACATTGATTTCTTGAACATTTATTTGTTTCGATATTTCGTAAGACGTTAATAAATATTGTCTGCATGCTTAAGTCTGACTGAATTTATTTTTAATTTAGCAAGATATAATAATTATGAATATTTAAATACGGTGAATGAAGTCAATGTTACATACATTGCTTGTTTTGCATAGATGGATGTGTGTTGTGTGTAAAAATTCCAGTGTGCAGATATGTATGGTAAAGTACAACAGGTTTGTGCAAGTTCCGAGCGGCCGGGGCGAGCTTTGTCGTAGTTACGTGTACTCTATTCTGTCGGGGCGCTGTTTGTACACTTTCTCGAATTGAATGCAATGTGAAAAGTGCCAGTGTTCCACGTACGTTTCCTATGAGAATACGCGCCCCGGCCGGCCTGAACGCTTTGTTAATAATATATGTTATGTTAATATTATTTCTAATTATGTTGTCAGTATACATTATGTATGCGGGTATGTGCGTTCACGGCGTTTGTTTGTAGTTGAGTCTTGAACTGTTTTATCTCAGTGCGTTCTTAAAAATTATACTTATGTGCATATGTCTGCCACCTGGAAAGTAATGCATGTGTACGTACGAGTGTTTAGTTACACTGATGTACGAATGTCGCAACATACTCAATGCGGACTGTCAACTCACGCGCTGTACTATCGAAAATAATTGAATACTCACATAGAAATGTTTGTCCAAGTGGTCGGTCCACTCGGTACCTTATTATGATAAGTGTTTCATTTGATTCTGCGCATCTTCTCTTCGGTAGTGCCTTTCTGTAACTCTACTTATCATTCTAGCTTCCTTGCGAGTGGAAATGTTAATCTACATTAAGTATGTTTAAAAATATGGAATCATTCGTCAAATTACTATAATAAAAAAATCTTCCAAAAAAATTAAGAAAATATTAGCTTGAAAAATGTATTATGGCGAAGTTCATTCGGCGAGTTTTATGAGGGGGAGCAAATAAAAAGAATTTCTACCAAAATGGTAGTATAATAATAAAATATTTAGCTTGTACTAGCAATATGTCGCCTGTGTAGGGTCGCCTCGCTTGCGCACGTGGCGCGGCGCCGCCGTACAGTAACTACTGTAGCGGCGCGCGCGACGCGGCCGCGCCGGGCTGCGCGCGCGGGCCGTCCTAGGATAAACTAGGTAACGATAACGTGTAACTATTAAATACCGATGTGTTTATGGGTATTATCCTAAAGTTGTTATCTCTTTCTTAGGCGCTGTTGTTTGTGGCTCGGAGGACCGCGCGGACCCTCCACCTCCTCTAGTTCGTACTCTATGTAGATATATGTAATGCCTATCTATATGCTGAATGTATAGACCAATATTTTAAAGCTACAGATGATTTTTGCAAATTTCTATTTGTATTACGTTGTTGGGACTTGAAAGAATATATTTTGTCGTAGTCAATTATTTGTTGGAGTATATTTTTGTATGTAACGTTGAGTCCGCGCGGTGTGCCCGACCCGTGTCTGTTATAAAGTATACATTATATTGTATGTACCTTTCAGTGATAGCCGGTAAAACTAATATTTAAATTTCAAAGTTGACGTGTATATGTGTATTTAAAGCTAATATAAAAATAAATTTGATAATATACAGGTTAATGTAAGCTTAAGTCGGTAGTGACGGTGCGCGGGAATCAAACCCTCCACGAGAGAAGTACCCACAGTCAAAGTGTCCGTTGTTCAGTTGGTCGCGTGCAGTTTAGTTGGAGGTAAGCCATCGCCATCGTGTAGATCTGAATAGCAGTTCTGATTACTATAAGAAGGGAGTGCTCATTGGTGTAACCGCTCAGTATTATCCGGGACCGCGCGCCTTAGCTTGTTAGAGTAGCCGGGGACGTGTAAGTTGTTGAGGTAGGACCCTGGTCACGTGTTCCCGCGTAGTGGACTAACTCCCCGACCGCAACTCGCGCATGGTCCGCGCGCTGTCGATATGTCATTACGTTACTCACAGCTTTTTGTATGTGCAACGAATATATAAGTATGTTTTGTATTGATATATTTTTCAGTGTTCCTGTGAAACAAGCACCTATCTGTATGCACGCTGGGCTGCAGCGCGATGTTGTATTGTTGTACATGGCGTGGATGTGACCTCTTGTTATAATTTGTACTATAATGTTTATGGCCGTTATGTTTTGTCAAATGTTTCTATAGTGTTATATCGATATGTATGTATTAGGGAACAGAGCGGTTTGTTACTGTTGTAGCAGCCGAGTATATAACGCATTCGAATGCTAGCAACTTATCATAGTACAATGTTTCATATCACGTTTACTTTGTTCGGGGAAGTGTATAGGATTGTTCTGACGGTACAATAACTATCTTATAATAATCAAATTCTTGTGATTTAGCGACGTATTTATACTGTATTTGAATATTTAGGCCTTTGCCTGGCACATGGCGTGTCAAAGCGATCACTCAGTAGTGTAGTCACGGATTGCTTTGACGAACATGTAGTGCAAGGCCCTTAGCTTGTTGCGATGTATACATTAGAAGTGGAAGGGAACGTCAAGTTAGAGTCCCCATTAGCTGACGGACAGTTTGGAGCGCCCTCTGGCGGGACGTTGTACTGGTCGAGCCACATATCGCCTGTAACTCTAGATACTCGGTGCGTCTTCACTTCAGTTGGCGCTATTCTAAAACGACTGCATTTTGTACTATACTATGTTTTTATTTTGTACTCAGAACTTGTTTACTACTGTTCAACAATAAGCTTATGAATAAATATTATATAATTGTTTATGCACTTTGTTCTAGAGAATTGCAAGAATAGTAAATTCTATAATATAGGTAACTTATATTGATTATAATGAGATAAATGTTTATATATAAAGTAAAAGTTGTGTACGTTTGTAATAATATAGCGTGTACGAGCAATCGACGCAGTGCCAGTACTGCCAGTACTGCCAGTACTCTGTGCTCTGAGGTTGCGCTGTTATTGTGAAGTAGACGGTAGATGCACCAACACACGAGCTGATGCTGTCTCGTATACGTATTATTTGGCTGTGTTTTGTTGCGACAATTGTTTGTTTGTACACTGGCAACGGGAGTTATTCTAATGTTTACAGCGGTCACATCGGCCGCGTCCAATGCGCTTGCGCGTCCAGTAGTTATTTTGTAAGTATTTGGCACGCAGCTGTTGGAAGCGGTTCACGAGGTGATCCTGAATGATTATAATAATTATTATTGTATATTTGTTATGAAGTGAGTTGTATGTTTGAGAGGCATTTGGTTCGGTATCAGGTCGTGCATTCGTCATTACCCGCTGACATGTATTCACTGTATCAAACTATGATATTATATTAATATGAAAACAAACAATTCCTGAGATAATAAAAAGGAAAATATTACAAAAACTAGTTTTATTTGTAAGAAACCCTGTATACCTAATTTGGTAAAACTAATTATAAAGCTAAAATAGCAATGAAACAACAGGATAACTCTACAACAGCATAGCATGTGAGCCACAGAATCTGCACAAATGTCATTAATATTACATTGCATTAGAAATTAACATGAGTGCAAAAATTTCATTCAACAATACGATTATTCTAAACTAAACAGAAAATTTAAAACAATAGTTACATTACTTAATACAATCACGTTTTATACTATCTTTAAATATTTTTATAATTGTCATCAAATATCACGACATTTTTTCTCACACAACAAGGTGCTCATGTACAGTAACTATGTATGATTTTAACATTAACTATGTATGACTACGGTTGAAGGGACATTCCATTTTAAACTTTTCTACAATTCGTATTAATTCTTAAAATGTTCGTAAGTTTATCTTGGTCACAACTTACCTTAAACTACATACTACTTCGCTTTATACAGCGCTGTTCGATGAAAAATAAAAAAACAAAAAGTTGCCGTCAATTTTAGTTTTTTTTTTATATGCAATAACAAAACGTTTTTAACAATACGGGTGTCAAAAGTTTAACATTTGGCATTTGATTCGAATGCTGCACAAATGTATAAGGAGTTCTTTGATGAATCGCTTGGATATACCACAAGCTTTATTAAAGAGAAGTTGGATCGAGAGATTCGATTATTCTGCCTATGTATTTATTTATTTTTGACATACCTTGATTTTGATCAATTTGTTTTTCTGCTTTCTTTTATATAAATTTTTAAATATATTATCAAATATAAAAATGGATGTCCTAAAGTAAATAAAATAATCATCAGAAATACCACAAAATATTTTGTAAAAGGAATAGGCTTAATATTGGCTGAATTTCTTTTTATATTTTAATAATGAAATAAAATTCTAATTTCAAATATCCATTCATTAAGTATAATTTATTTGTAGTATTAATTCAGTTGTAGTAACTTGTTTTTCTATGGATATGCACGATACAATTTTATTCCATAAAAAAACATAAAAAGTATTACTACTGGTATTTCAGTTAGAATAAACTGAAAGTTGATATTTTACAGCCGAATTAGTCGTCATGTGTGAACAACTATAATAAATTTATATTACCTTAAAACGGTGTGGAGCAGAGTTGTAGGTAAGTACCTATTTGATAATTAAATAATGATAATTATATTAGTTAGGTATAACAATGGCGTTCTGTTGGTATCTACTGTAATAATATTATTTAAGAATCCCCCACTTGACGTAATCGTTGACAACTCCATTCAGCCTCTCCACGTACAGATCGCTGGTCTTCTCCACGTTGAACTTTGAGATGTCGAGGGACTCGTCCACCTGAGGGGCGTTCTCCGTCTCCACGGTAAGGACTGGCAAGACGACGATAGCTAGAAGGAGGCCGTATGGCAGTTTCTGTAATAAATTATTTTTTTGTAAATGTCATTCTCATTCAAGCTTACTGAAAAGGCTCTGGTCATTATCACTGTTGGTGGTAAGCGATGATGTTGTGGATGGTGAATAACACCAAAAAGCAACCTATTTTTTTTATTATTGTTTTAATGGAATAGGAGGCAAACGAGCAGACGGATCACCTGATGGTAAGCGATCAGCGCCGCCCATGGACACCCGCAACACCAGAGGAGTCACAGGTGCGTTGCCAGCCTTTTAAAAAGGAATAGGTATGCTCTTTTCTTGAAGGTTTGAAACAGATCATTCCACAGTATTGCTGTGCGAGGCAGTATTTGAAATTTCATCACCATACAGCCAGGTTATATACTTCTAGAAACAGATTCTGGCAAGGAATTCCATTCCAGTACTTATAAAGCGAAACTTTTTGTATATCTCATGATGAATTGACAATTTCACCATCATCAGATAATAGGCACACCTGGAGGCATGGACACCTGACATGACTAATCATGTTATCACAAATTTAATAATATATAGTGCCTAAGTACTATCTATTTAAATCGGGCTGATGAAATATGCCAATGTTTTGCAAGTAAGATTAGTGTATGCTACACCTGTGTATGACTTTTTTTTCAAGTCTTTCTGATTTACCTATATCGATAAGTGGGCCACCAGCCACCTGCATGCCTATCGGTACTGTTGGGTCGGGCAAAGTATTACTGTTTTTTTTAATCTCAGTAGTAGCGCGAAGTCTGGAATTGTGCCCGGTATATGGCAATCTCATCCCCTATTACATGGGACTCATAAATAGTGAAAAGTGAGTGTTACAGTGCCATTAAGTGCCGTGGCATTGTGCACCTCTGCCTACCCCTTCGGGGATAAAAGTCGTGATGTTATGTAATGAAAAGTGGCGAACTATCTTAACACAGTCATATGATACCGGCTTGCATGTATACAGTAACAGGAAGCCCCTGTAAATATTTATTAGGTAGGTATATGATTAGCATCAGATCAGCGTTCCTCAGGACCAAATTAATCTTCCTAATAAACAAGAGTTTATCAATGAATAATAATATAAGTACCTACTTCAAAGTTCACATAGGTACATGCAATACATCCTCGTCTCGTACTAATCATTGTGATAATGACGGATCATCCCGGCGAAATTCTGTCCACACAGTTGATGAGTGGTATATAACACACTATTTATTTATTATCTTATTTTTATATATTTTTTTTTTTTTTTTTTTATCAGTACATGTACATGTGTACTTGCGGTACTTGCGCTGCTTGTGCTACATTCGGACGAATACCATTATGACGTTACTCCATATATCATACACTTTGGTGATGAAATATTTAGCACGTTTTTTATGAAATGTCCATTATTAGTTTAGCAACCTTTAAATTTAGTTAAGGAACTAATTCCTTAATATCGCAGGTTGCTCTCGTGAACTTACTCTTTCTCAGCATGTTCACGCGAGTAATCCGCGATTTTTAGTTAATTTAGTTTGTCTCAAAGTAGTTATTATTTAAATAAATTTTAAAATGAATTGCCGTTCGTTAGTTAGTAGTAGAACCGATTTGGCTAATTTTGGTCTTGAAATGTTCGTGGAAGTCCAGGGAAGGTTTAAAAGGTGAGAAAAATATTTTTAAGGCGGTACGAAGTTTGCCGGGTCAGCTAGTAAAAACATAGTTTCCTACTTAAGTAATGTGTCCGTACTTAACCATCTCCGTGTGAGAAGAGGCTTTTGGTCAGCAGTGGCCACTTATAAGCTAGTGATTTTACTTGAGATATGAAGTACCTAATTATAGGCTGCATTACTATGTTACGGTAAGCAAAATTACTATTTGAAATAGTAAAAAAATATGTTGCGAGTTTACATCTACGAATGCCTACGAGCTACGCACGCTACGGGCGGTGGAGGTAGCTACGCAGCATGCTAGCTACGGCGTAGAATGCCACTACATTCTTTTCTTTATCTTCTAATTAGTACAGAGGATAAGGAAATAGTGTAGACTATTTATTTATTATCCTATTTATTTACCTCCTTCAATTCGCTATCGAAGTCTTCTCTGGAGAAGGTTTCGTCAGGGTTGAGTTTTAACCTCTTCATGGCAGCATTGAGCTCTGAGTAGTAGTGGTCCAGCAGCTTTTCAAAGTACTGCGCGCGGAACTTCTCGTCAGTGCCCGCGATGATGAAGTAGATCAAGTCACTGATTGGACTGCCTGCGTACATAGTCTGAAGGTCGACCACCTTAATATCCACCGAGCCATCCTGTGAAGTGTGAATGCACAAGATTAAATATTACCATAGCTGAAGTTGAAATCAATTGATAAAGTAAAAAATCCGACATAGGTATAACATGGATGATTCATATTACACTTCGATTCATCCATTCGGGAAATGAGAGCATATTGTTATGGCGTTGTTATCCTAGAATTTCAACCGTGCAGCTATTGAATGCCGTGTCCGTTATTCTGAACTGCAGTTGCTACACAGTTCTGCTTCGAATTTAGATATTTTATAGATTGGGTTTTACACTATAGGTATACCTATCTATACAGAATATATAATCAAATCAAATCACTTTAATGCATCTATAGTGGTATAGGTGTACAGGGTGGTTTATAATTTTTGACTAAATATGTTCCAACTATAGGCGCTTTTGGGACCGCAAAGGTAATTACTCTACTTACAAAATAATAGGAATCATTAATATTATTTCTCAATATATTATTTCCAATACTTAGGTTACAATCATTTAATTATTTAAAAATCTTATATATCTAACTGTCGTTAAAATTTTATATTTAAAGTTACAAAATAGAAATTAAAATATTTCAACTTCACTAACTAAGAACAACTCGGCCGTCTACTGTACCTAGTAGGTTCGTGTTCTATATTTTGAAATATTTTCTCGAGATTTTAAGGTATAAAAGAAATCTGTATTATCGTTTATATTTTTGATAGCTGAGCTCATATTTTTTCATCGATCATCACCTCCCATATTGCTGATCATCAATTTGGACCCTTATTTTGCTCCTTCAATCGATATGTTTATCTCATAAGTGACATATTTCGGTTGTATTTAATATCTCCAATTTTCTTGAGTGTTCGAATCTTGAAAAAATGTAGTTTTATTGATGACTGATGTAGCATATAGCATTGTAACACTGCAGAGAACACCTTATTATTTCGAAGAATCAGCGTGCAATTAGCCTTTATGTGTATTGCATGGGATAATCGGAGCTCAAAACTCAACAGATAATATGTACTAGGATTCTTGTACCATTTAAGATAATGTTAAAAAGAAAAGGATATAACTTACGTCAAGAATCTTGTGCATTAAATTGCTGGGCTTGTAGTCTCCGTGGCATAGTACCCGCCGGCGGCTCGTTTTCTGATATTTTTCATATGAGTCTGGTTCGAAGTTTTCGAAGTATGTCACCACTTTATCTTTATACTCGTCGACTTTTAACGTATTAATAGCGTTTTCTATCATTTTGGCTCCATAATCCATTGATTCAGATTCTTCCATTTTGATATCGTACACTATATTTTTCATAACTTCATCAAACTTTTCAGGATCCTGTTTACCGTATGCCCAGGCGCATGCGTGCAACTTCGCCAGTTCCCGGGTCGCTGCCTGCGCGTACGGCCAGTCTATCGACTTGAACCTGTCGTAAGCCTCGTACCCGGCTGCCGTGAGGTCCTCCAGCACCATTGCTTCTTCGTTCAGCTCAGTAATGCTTCCGTAGTACTTGCTGACATTTAACTTAAGCTCGTCTGGTATTCCACACTGCTCCTCAATACTTCGGTACATTTTCCCAAGATCTGTGTAGAAGAAGTGTTCAGTCTCATATATTCTAGATAGCTGAGCTCGCATCTTCTCCCCTATAGCTGCCACTTTGCAGAACAGCCGCAGTGTGTTAGAACCCTCAACGATGGACACCGAGAACAACTTAGCGGTGTAATTTGCTCCTCCACTCGATATTTCCTTGATGTCCAGGTTGTAGTCGACAAACTTCTGTTCTTTTGCTATTTTGTGAAGCAAATCGGTAAAAGATTGCATAACATGTTCCATTTTGTTGAGTGTATTATTCAACAAATTAAAAAAGGAAACCGTCACCCTTTTTCAGTGAACTGGGTAAGAAAAGCGTTAAATTTAATTAGTGGCGACGTGTGCTTGTCGCTCGGCACAGTTCAGCGTACTGGTCGGTGTGGACGATGTTGATAAATAAATATGTTTGTCTTATCTATGTTTCACATATGACGACTGTGTTGTTATCCTCACGTAATCTTGCGAAAGTGATTTTGTCCAGAGGGTTACCGTATTTTTTTTACCAAAGCCGCAGGTGCTACTTGCAAACCTTTTGAGCGCAAGAGCAAACAAAGGCTTTTAGATCATACTGTGTGCGCTGTATCATCATTATCACGTTACTCACAGCTTTTTGTATATGCAACGAGTATTTATAAATGTTTTGTATTAATATATTTTTAGTGTTTCTGTGAAACAGGCACCTGTCTGTATGCACCCTGGGCTATGTATGTATTAGGGAAAGAGCGGTATGTTACTGCTTATTTTTTATTTTATAATTTTTTTTAAACAGTCGCAAGGTCAAAAAGCCCAATTAAAGTAACTGACATATAACAATAAAATATAAACAAAAGAAAAGTTGAATCTAATTTTTTTTTTTTTTTTTTATACAAAAATTTTTATTTCTGAACCAAATATTTTTTTAACAATAGATTGTGATTGGAGCCTCCTTTTAGGTAAATAATGCCTGTATTAGGAGACTCCGCTCTTCCATAACATAACAATATTTCAAAAGTTTTTGGTTTTTACAATTACCAGTTTATTGACTTATATAAATAGATTTATGTGTAAGGGGTGTATGTGAGTGTGGGGTGTATGTGTGTGTGAGGTGCGCGTATCTGTGTGTGTGGCGTGTGTGTCGTGGTGTATCTGCGAGGGTGTGTGAGGGATGGTTATTTTACGTGTTGCAGCAGGGCTTCCGTACTTTCGTATGTTAGATTTTTTATCCATTCGATTAGCAATTTCTTACATTCGTGTAGTTGTTTAGTGTATATGTATATTTCTTTGTTTACCTTATTATATATTTGTGCAGAGCGTTTATTGTATTGTATAGCAGCAAGTTTAGTTTTAGTTTGTGGAACTTGTGCAATCATATCTTTACGTCTCTTTGATAATATTTTACTGTCATAAAAAACAGTTTTGTGTTTTTTTAAAATCAGTTGTGTGATGTACAATTTCCTAACAGAGAGTAAACCACTTATCTGATAAATACTTTCAGTAGGGTGCCTCCTACTTTTAAAATACATAATTTTAATGAGTGCTCGTTGTCCTCGTTCCACCTCTATAAATTTGGTTTTTGCTGCACCGCCCCATATCGGTATACAGTATGTTATGATGGATTGTGCAAGGGCGATGTAAATTTCGTTTAAGAGATTTCTGTATTGGCCGGTTTTTTTATTTGTAATGGTTGGAACGACGTGTCTCAATGTTTTGAATATCCAACATAATTTCCTTATTCTATGAGTTACGTGTTCGATATGGAAATACCAAGACAACTGTTGATCAATTATGACACCTAAATATTTTGTCTGAGATACTTTACCAATTAGAGGACATGTACAATCATTATTAGCGGTTTTCTGCTTACATGAATGCACTTTAATACTGAAGTCTTCATTTGGTTGTGAACGCTTTGAAGCAGAGAAACAGATATAGTTAGTTTTAGTTGCGTTCAAAGTTAATAAATTATTATTTAGCCAGTTAGCGATCTTAGTCATACCCTTCTCAGCTTTAAGCTGAACTTCAGGCCAGTTATCTCCAGAAAATACAACAGCGGTATCATCAGCGTACGAAAAAATGCTAGCGTTATCGACTTTTAAGGTACAGAGGTCGTTAATATACATTAAAAAGAGTGTAGGGCCCAAAACGCTACCCTGAGGCACGCCAAATGAGACGTCTGCATTATCACTGAGATATGTACCTATCTTAACTCTCTGCCGTCTCTCTGATAGGTAATCTTTAAGGAGATTGAGTGGTACTCCTCTTATTCCGACTCTTTCTAGTTTGGACACAAGGGTTGGAACAGAGACGGTGTCGAAAGCTTTTTTTAAATCTAGGAATACCGAGAGGCATTTTTTTCCTACATCTAGATGCTCAGCAACCACTGAGCTGAGGGCAGAAACTGCGTCTTCAGTGGCTACTCCCTGTCTGAAACCAAATTGAGTGGGCGACAATATTCTGAATTTATTAAAATAGTTAACAAGTCTCACGTTTATTAACCTTTCCAAAACCTTAGATAAAGCCGGTAACACAGAGATAGGTCTGTAATTGTTTACATCGTCACTGTTTCCACCCTTGTGTACCGGAGTAATAATTGATTGTATTAGTAAGGTCGGAAAAATACCATTTCTAAAACAAAGGTTAGCCAGATGGGCGATGATCGGTACGACTTCCTTGCTAACATACTTAAGAAATCTAGTCGAGATGTTGTCCCAGCCTGGAGCACTGTCCGACTTTAAACTCATCAATATGCTTTCAACTTCCCTAGGGTCTGTGTCCAAGAGTACAAAAGAATTATTTTGCGTATGTCGGTTATTACATTTTATATGTCGGTTAATTATTTTGTATGTCGGTTAATTAAAACTAGAGTTAACACCATTCATAAGTTTCTCTCGCAGTACTTCAAGCATTCTGATAATTCTGTTTAGCAACCGAGTACATAACGCATTCAAATTAGGGTTGTAGGAAACCACACAGGTTTCTTTTAAGTCTTGATTACGATCGAAGTGTAAATTATGATCTGGAAGTTATAACATAGGCTACTTTTTATACAACGAAGCCGCTAGCTAAAGCTAGTTGAAAATAAATGACGCAATAAAAATGTGTCTTTTCTATGGAATATAATGCAAACGAGCAGACGGATCACCTGATGGTAAGCGATCAGCACCGCCCATGGACACCCGCAACACCAGAGGAGTAACAGGTGCGTTGCCGGCCTTTTAAAAAGGAATACGCTCTTTTCTTGAAGGTTTGAAGGTCGTATTGGTTCGGAAATACCGCCGACAACAGATCATTCTACAGTTTTGTGCGAGGCAATATTTAAAATTTCATCACCATATACTTCTAGATATACACCAGCCAGGTTTATATACTTCTAGAAAACTTTGCTGTGCTAGGCAGAAAGCTACGTGAGAAGCGCACAGTTGTGGCCTGCCAACCATCTATATGGTGGGGATGCATATGCTGTCGTGAGGGTCGCTATGAAGGAGCATGTCATTGATATGAAGGAGGAACAATGTAGGCTACGCAGCCTTGAGGGCCTGTGTTTGCATACAGCAAGTCGGAGCATTCACCGTCGACAACAACTTTAATGTTTCTGTCTGCAAGGAAGCAGGAGACCCATTCGCAGTATTTCTTGGGAAGCCCGTAGGAAGGAAGCTTCAAAAGAAGCGCTCTATGCTAAACCAGATCGAAGGTCTTTGCCACGTCCAAACTTACTGCCAACGCTTCCCCCTTAGACCCGATCGCCTGTGCCCACCGGTGCGTCAGGTAAACTAGAAGATAACCAGCAGACCGACCTTCACACAAGCCGTATTGCTGGTCACTGAGCAGCTGATGATCCTCTAAGTAATCCCATTATTTTCGAGAAAAGGGAAGTTATGGCTATCGGTCTTTAGTTGGACGGATTAGATCGATCACCTTTTTCAGGGGTTGGGTGGACTAAAGCTGTCTTCCATGACGTCGGAGCTACGCCTGAATAGTAAGAGAGCCGAAAAAGACGTGTTAGAACTGTAGCCAACTCAGGGGCGCACATCTTCAAAACAATGGGTGGGATCCCATCAGGCCCGCTCGACTTATGGACGTCTCTTACAACACTAATTCGAATGCTGCAAACTTATCGTAGCAAAACCTCATATTACGGTTTCTTAGTTCAGGATGTGTAAAGGATTGTTTTGGTATTAAATATCAATTACTGAGGCAACAGAAACGAAAAAAAATGTCATCACAAAAACTAGTTTTATTTGTAAGATACCCTGTACAGTTAATTTAGTAATATAATATTAATAATATAATTTACTAAAATAAATTAGCAATATAATAAATAAAACTAAAATAATAATAAAGCAACAGAATAAAAACACTATAACAACATAATTTGTGCACAAAAATATCTGTACGAATGGCGGTCGGCTTTATATACATATTACATTGCATTGGAATTTAACGTAACAGAAAAAATGTAATTCAATAATAACATATTGTAAGTTAAACGGAAAATGTAAAATAGAATTATATTACTTAACTAGCTGTGCCCGCGACTTCGTTCGCGTAGAATAGTGACTATGAGCAGCGTTTTTTTTTTTTAATATATACTTATTTTTATTTTAGATTTGGATTATAATCACAGTCATTTTGGGTAGCTAAAAAACCTACTTTACTGTAATGCTTCTCTATATACAATATTAGACGTATGGCCATCGGGGGTGAAAGCATACAGGCTGCTGGGATTGCTAACACGGGACAGACCCACATACAATTGACCGTGCGAAAAACAGCTGATACTTAGTTCTATACCCACAACTTTTAGAGTCTGACCTTGAGCTTTATTAATTGTCATGGCGAAACATAGGCTCACTGGAAACTGAATTCGTTTAAAATTAAACGGAAATTTTTTTGGAATGAGAGGAATCTGAGGAATAAAACCACTATCACCTTCTCCGCACCCTGTTAAATATATATATATATATTTATAAGCCGTTTCTGAGATTAGCGTGAACAGACAAACAGACAAAAAAAAGTTAGTTACATTTTTGGGTTCGACATCGACATAACAATAGCCCCTGCTATTTTTTTTATTTTTATTTTCAATGTACAGACAGCACTTTTCTACAATTTTATTATATGTATAGATAGATTCAATACAATCACATTCTTATAATTCACTAAAGTATACATAGAATGATATTTATACTTAAAATATTATAACTTTACGTTCTCACACATATAAAGGGCTTATAGAGGTATATACGTTTTAATATTAATTAATTGAATACATTCGACTAGCGTTTATCGAAATTATGTATAAGGGACCTTTTTAAGATAGGGTTTCAAAATTATTGAAAATCGACCTCTACGGCAAGTGACGACGGAGTCCACGTGTAAATTAATCTTTGAGAATCCCCCACTTGACGTAGTCGTTTACAACTCCGTTCAGCCTCTCCGCGTACAGGTCGCTGGTCTTCTCCACGTTGAACTTGGTAATATCGAGGGACTCGTCCACCTGGGGGGCATTCTCCGAGTCTATCGTCACGATCGGCAGAGTGAACACGGCGAGGACGAGACCGAATGGCAGCTTCTGTAACACATAATAATATGATATGGTAAATTTTAAGTTAATTTTTATAGTACCAACTTCAGTTATGTAGGGTTACTTCGCCTGTTCGTGTCCACCTTACTAAAGTTCACCTGTTCGCGGTATCCCACCTCATATGCTGGTAGTTTTCTTATGTTCGGGATTTTTATAGGGGGTTTCGTAACATGGACACAAACAGGCGAACTTATCCTATATCGACACAAGTGTACAATGTCTTTGTTTAGGTTCAGCAACTTGACAAGATAGGGAAGATGATAGATGTAAGGTCAGGTATAAAAGTAAAGGGATAACAGTACCTATTTTTTTTTTATGGAATAGGAGGCCAACGGATCACCTGATGGTAAGCGATCAGCGCCGCCCACGAATATGAACTAAGTTAGGTACATTCTATGTGAGAATACACAATACGGATCGAATAATTTTAGCTGCATAGTGCGTATGAAGGTACGAAGTGCGTACGAAGAAAGGCCGCAATGCGGCTACCCGCAGAAGGATTTTCCGGTACCTATAGTAGTACTGGTATTTCCTTGACGTTTTTCCTTTAATTTGATGTAATTTCTGATTAAAATTTTCACCTAAAGTACCCTCCATTACACCACACGCGCCATATGTTTCGTTAGAAGCGATAAGTAGTCTCTTACGCAGGTGACTGTAAATCATAATTATCGTAGATAGTAATAATTCTTTTACAAAACTCCAAGTCATGTAACATTGGCAATTTCGAAATTATCAATTAAGATGTACACCTGAAGGGTGTAAATAAACAGATAAACAGACAGATAGACCAATTAAATTAATACCTAATAATTATATGTATTATTATTGTACGTACCTACGTTATGATTCATTTATAACTCAATTAGGCTGATGAAATATACTAATATCTTGCTTAATACGTCCTGTGTGTTTTGAAGAGTAGGTAGACATAATAAAAATAAAATGATGAATATTATCTTTATCTTAATCTGTATAACAAGCGCACTGTTGATAATCGAGTACAGACAGTTACATATCACGCTCATAGTATCAATATCATATTTATATGGCTGTACTTAGTTATGCTGTGTACCTAATTTCCTTAATGGACTTTACTTTTAACGTTCCAAAAGTGCACTTTGACTTTAACTTTATGGCTATGTGTCTATATGCAAAACTATCTAGACCAATTTGGCTAGACTATGTTAAATTAGTTAACGCGGAAAGCCGCCAATAGATGGTATAATATGACAATTAAACAATAGAAGTTTTTAGAAATAAAAATGATGCACGTCCAACAAACTTACGAGGTTAAATCAACCTTATGACAATAAGTTCATCCTTCAGTATTATCTCTGAATATGACTTTTGCTATGGTTAGTCAGCCAATGCGGGTGGCGAGTTGTCGTTTGATGTAGGGGACTAAGGGGCAGGCCTTTGTTTAGCAATCGGCGACGGCGATCTCGCCTTCGGCCCTAGTCCAGGCCAGTCCAGGCCGTCTCCTCCTTTTGCGAAGCAGTATTGCTAGCTTAGGAGGAGGCAGGGCGGGTGAGGCAAAGATCAGCAAACACCTCACAACTAACAACAACCTAGCCGTCACGAAGGACATTCCAGGTGACGGGGATCGAAGCGATCTCCGGCCACCGTAAGCACGGGCCTGTGGACGGCGAGCATGGGTAGCTTGACGCCCGACGTAGCTCAGAGTGGCGTAGCTGTACTTTGATTAAGTTTTCATTTTGATTACAGAAACCATCAGTTCTAGAGCGGTAGAAAAGATTCGTTTAAAAATTTTACTATAAATACACTTGTCAATGAATTATGTATTCAGTTAGTCACTTATTAGGTACTTTGATTTGGGCTCGCTGCCATCGCAGCGGTAAGTCCCCTCTTTGAGGAGTAGCTTGAGAGACGCTACGGCGTCCTCACCTACCGCCTGACGCAGGTCCTCACCGGACATGGCAGTTTCGGGAGGTACCTGTGTCTGATGGGGCGGGAGGAAACGCCCGGGTGTCATCACTGCGAGGACCGCCCTGAGGACACGGTGGAACACACGGTGGGAGAATGCCCTTCGTGGGCTGAGCACCGCCGTGTCCTCAGGGAAGTGATCGGCGATGGCGACCTCTCGCGTCCGGGCCTAGTGCAGGCCATGATGCGGAGCGAGGGGGATTGGGATGCCGTCTCCTCCTTTTGCGAAGCAGTCATGCTAGCTAAGGAGGAGGCGGGACGCGTGAGGCAGCGAAGCGCTGCCTCCTCGCAACCCAGCCATCGCGAAGGACACACCGGGCGTCGGGGATCGCGGGACGATCTCCGGCCACCGTAAGCGCGGGCCTGCGGACGGCGAGCATGGGTGGCTCCCCGTCCGACCAGAAACAGACCCGAGCGTACGGCGCGTCGCGTTCCGCGCGCGCCTCAAAGAGCCATCAGACCACCACAGATGGGGCCCAATAGGGCCGATGCCGATTCGGAGTCGCGGAGAACCTAACGGGTAACCGGGGCTCCGGCTCGACGTGCAGGAGAAGGAACGGGGTGGTTTTTAGTCAGTAAGAGTCTGACACTCCCTCCCGCCTCACCCAGGCGGG